CCCCAAAACCCCAAAACCCCAAAACCCCAAAACCCCAGAAGGGATGTATATAGTTGAAACTATTAACTAATAAAGCTCTAAACATCTTTTATAAGCTTCTCTACTTCGAAATTAAATACATCAGCATATTAGTGATTCGAAATTATTTGTTATTCTTTGAATCCTGATCTCAAGAGAGAATTTTGGAATCAAAACATATCCTTTCTGAAGTCTTTTGATAGCTGTTTCTTAGACTTCCCCTTGGTCTCCACAACATAGAGAAATGCACAGAAGAATCCAAGCATTGAGGCTCCACTAAATATAAAGAATAGGAATGAATTGACCATTCTGAATGAAGCCCTCCCTTGGATGCGCTCAACCACTTCCATCACGATAGAAGGCAGAGAGGTCATGAATGCTATTATGGCCCATTGGAAAGCCATAACAATGCTCATTCCTTTATCTGTCAATGTTTCTGCACAATATAGGATCGGAGTAGAGGAAAAATTTAATGTAAATGAGATGGAGTAAACCCAAATGAAAATGGCTGAAGACAAATTTACCATACTTTCAAATATCGGAACATTGTCATTTACTAAAGTTAAGCTGTCTGTCAGTTGGAATAGGATTCAGCATCAAAAGCATGCAATGATAAGCGCCGCTAATAACAGATTTTTCCTTCCAAATTTCTTGAGCATAAATATTGAGGGGATCATGAATAAAAATGACGCTCATATCAGTGTAAAAGAGAGATTAATATTTGGGAATCTCGAGTCATACACAAACGAAAGACCGTAATTTAAGACTAGATTAATCCCAATTAGTTGTTGGAAGCCTTTTATGATTAAAGAAGCTATAATTTTCTTCCTCTCAGGGTACTTCCACAAATTTTCCCAAGTATCAATTTCTAAAAGAGTGATTTCTTTTGCACTTGATTGTTGGAGTTCTTCCTCATAATTGATAGCAGATCTTGCAAGATTGTCTGTGCTATCTCAAGACCCGATAGAAGTAAAGGAGTTTTCTCAATCCTTCGCATAGGCAGGATTTTCTCTTTTGAAGATTAATAATAGCAATAAAATTTGGATAACTGGAACTAGAGTGATTGGAATCATAAACTCTCTCCATCTAATATCAATCTCTGAATAATATGCTCAATTCTCTGAAATTTTATTTGCAGGCATTTTTGTGTAAAACAGCAATATTAAACTCGTTTTGGTGATAGAGCTTGCATCGTTTCCTTGATTTAAATCAAAGTCATCAGCATTTGGCAAGAGAAAATTTAATAGTAATGATATCAAAAGACCAAATCTGTACCAAAATTGGATAGTCACGATGCAGCATTCTTTATACTTTGGAGATGATATTTCATTTATAAACAAAGGAGCTACCGTGCTTGTGATTCCAAGCCCAAGTCCGATGATTATTCTCCCAATGATCATCGCATATATAGACCCAATGTAGAGGATGAAGCTTCCAAAGAAACAAAGTATTGCTGAAATAATTAATGCTTTTCTCTTTCCGTATCTTGAGAGTTTCCATGAGAACCCTCCACCTATTGCAGTCATGATCAGAACTATAAAAATTGTGAGTTTAGCATCCATAGCTTAACTTCTGGATTTTAAAATGATCTTCTTCTTCAACTATACAGATTGGAATAACATAAAAATATCAATTCAAAGACACTAGTATTCCATGATTCATGTAAAATATCTGTGAAGATACCCAACACAATCTTTTCATTATTATAACCTTAAGCTTTTAACCCTTCAATGAGATAATTAATTATGACAAGGAGGAAAAGCATTTTATATTTTTATGAAGTTTCCACCAGAAATATCCTGTTTAACAGAGAAGGAAGATTAGCATAAATAATGACGTAATTTAATTTCATACAAATTTAGATATGGCTGTCTTCATTGGGAAGGAAGATTGCAACCTACAAACTCTTACACAACTATAAAGGAGCACTAATTCCTAGAATAATGGACTAGCAAAGGTAGAGACTGAATAAAGATCCTTACATATGCCATTGGCTGATAAGTTAATTGCTCTTGCATTCTTAGGATCAAAGCCATATATTCATGGGGAAAAGCCCCAAAGCTGGACTGTAGTATTGACCAAGTACCAAAACTGGAAGTGGCCAATTGCCAAGGCTCAGCTCCATAATGCTGAATAGCTCAACTTGCTCATCTTGAACAATCAATTATTTAGCCTAATAATGGGGTTTTGGGGTTTTGGGGTTTTGGGG